CTCACTGGTAAACGGCGGTAGCCATGTTTATTTGGTGTACCTAGAAGAGAGTATCACCCCGATAGGTGATTAACTGGCATCGGCTTTCGTTGTCGGTTTGCCGCTGTGTGATAAGGACCGTATGACTTTGCGGTATAGGACATTCCTGGTAAGGTGCAGTGCTTTCCGAATTACGCTGGTGTGTGTAGGTTCACGCCACCGCTCATGTTCAGCTGCTTCCTTCCTGTGTTTGTCGGCTTCTCTCTGGGAAATAGTTCCAAGCCCAGCCACTGAAGGTTTGGAGGTAGTAGTATATAAGTAAGTGGATTGAGATTACGGTTTAATGTCACTAGCTAGTACTATAGTAGACTTGGCAAACGCTTCGTTTCCTTGTGTGTGTGTGTGTGCGTGCGTGTGCGTGCGTGCGTGCGTGCGTGCGTGCGTGCGTGCGCGCGCGTGCGTGCGGGCGTGTGCGTATGCGTGCGTGCGTGCGCGCGCGCGTATGTGTGAGCGTGTGCGTGCGTGCGTGCATGCGTGCGTGTGCGTGTGTGCGTGCGCGCGTGTGTGTGTGTGTGCCGGGCGTGAGGTCTACGCGTGTACGTATACATGTGCTACAAAAAACTGTGACCCGTTATGATATATTATATATATAGTCAGTAAGTGACAGAATAAAATGTTGCCTTCTTAGAAACTTTCTCTTGAAATACATCCGCGTGCACCGTTGAATCACACGTTTTTACTTAGTACTTGCTCGTCGTTTCTATTTATTTAGTCTGCACCCACCAAATACCTAGAGATTCGATCCAAGTGAAAATCAATCTCAGTTGCTTGGAACATTATTTGAACTATGAACAGGGTGTAATTCAAGGCAACGATATTTACTAGAGTTTTGCTTCATATTCACTCTAGCCTTACTTCAGGAAATATTACTATTATAATGGTCCCTGCTTTATTGGGACAGGTCAGGAATGAAATGAAAATGAACATGAAAATGTCCTGGTTAAGCGGTGGTGCCGATTAAGCGGTGATCACATTCGCAGTCGCACAAAAAATCCTACTTACACCTTGAGCGATTGTCTGTACATAGACAACACGCACTGTACAATGCACACAGTCAGCAACCCAACACACGTAAATTTAGCTCTAACAAATATTTTGTGAGCTCAAGCTGAGAAATGCCAGTTGGCTTTTAAGTTTCTAGGGTGGTTTTACAACGTGCTCTTACGAACGAAGAACGCTTGTTCTGCATGAAATATCTCATTAAACTAAGGGTATATTATTATACCCTTGACACACCGAATTCGGTATTGACCAATGCGCATCAAAGCGCATCAAAGCGAATTGAAAGTTCGGTGTGTCAACGGTATAAGATCCTGTACCCTTTACCAAATTGAAATAATGTATGCAAGGATTTTTTAATGACGTGTCATCTTAGCAATGCCGCCAATGCGACTGTTTATCTGAGGCCAGATAAAGCGGGGACCACAGTACTAGATAATACAAGGGTCGACTATTAAAGCAATGTGACTAGCCTCAGTCTACCTAGATGATATCGGTGATTATAGGCCTAAACGTCAATGAACATGAAATAAACGTCATCTTAAATATATATTCAATACTCGTCTCTAATCGGTTTTCCATACATTATAACAGCAATCCAGAGATTGCCAGAGATCTGCCACATTTAGGTGAATGCTATTTAAAATGCTTTTATTCACTGAGATACAAACTGTACTTCATGTGCTCTTGCTTTCAAGTAAACACAGCGAGTGACATCTCGTTGGAGCATTACTTTAGAATTTGTAGGAAGTCACAGATTTTATGAAGTTACTATTATCACATTGGCCATCTGTGGCAAGAGCAATTATGTTTATGCTAGGTAGAAGCATTAATTGCTCAGCAGGCAACATTGATTTCACAAGGGCAACATTGATTTCACAAGGGCAACATTGATTTCACAAGGGCAACATTGATTTGTTTCATGGCGAGTGATATGCTCTGTA